CCTTTTAATTTCCTGGCTGCTGGTGCTAAGACTGTTGACTATAAATTAGGAATCTAATATATTCAGGAAAAAAAAAGCTAGATAATGAATAAGGATGATGAAACAGTCTGGAGAAGAGTACTGAATAGCCCATGGGTGGCCAAAAGAGCAAACAGGTATGTCTTGGAGAAAGTGCAGCAGGAGTTCTCCTAGGAGGCAAAAATGAGAAAGCTTTGCCTTACATAATTCGGGCACGTTGCTAGGAGGGGCTGGTCACTCCTTGGAGAGGGACATGATGCTCAGAAAGGTGAAAAGTCAGCAAAGGAGAAGACCCTCAACCAGGTGGATTGACGCGGTGACTGCCGCAATGGGCTCGTGTGTCAGACAGTGTGAGGATGGCACAGGGTAGGAGAGGGTTCCTATCTGTTGTTCACAGGGTCACTATGGGTTGTACTTGATACAGCAGCACCTAACAACAGCCTGGGTTCAGGACCTCAGCTCTGCCTGGCCACATCCTCACCATGTGAGCTGAGAGACATCACTTCTCCCAGAACCTCTGCTTCCTTGTCAAGGGCATGAAGAGATGGACTCTGTCCTGCTTCATAGAGCTTCGGGGAGTACCCACTGGGCGCTGGGACACAAAGGGGCTCTGTCGTCTGTAACGCACAGCAAGGCAGCCTGCTGTCTCTTCCCTGTGTGACTGTCCTTGCTTTACACACAGCTCCTTAGAGGCGAGGACAGAGAACCCTCGTGTCACACCCTTCAGACATGTTCTCAGGAGGGACCTGTCCCTGGAGAAGGACATGAAATTGGGTAATAAAATGTTAGCAAAAAATAGGAAGACCATCAGATAAATGGACAGAGTGGCTGCAAGGAAGGGCCCGAGCTCCACAGTGACCGTGAAGGTGGGGGTCAGGCTGGCCAGGGGTCTTCAGTTGTTCGTGGGTCACTGTGAATTGGGGGTGGCTCTGAGTTGGATGGAGCCTAGTAGATGACACCTAAGGGAACTCTGAGGGCCCAAAGGCAAGAAGCTTCTCTACAATCTCAATGTCACAGGGTTTGAATCCACCAGCGGCTCCTCGAGAAAGGATCAACAACGTCCTCCTGTGCTATTTACTACGTCTGAAACCCCACTGAAGAGTCAGCTATGAGTCAGCTGCAACCCGACAGCACACAACAACACAGATGGTACCTCAGAACTGACACAGCTGCCCGGGAGGATCAACTGTCCGGCGCACACGGGGCAAGGCACAGGAGGAGAACATCAAGAAACACCCAGAGTCTACAAGGACCAATGGGCTGCTGGACATTTTTTGTCCTGATGTTTAAAAATGTCATCTTCCTTGGATCCACAATCAACACTCCTGGAAGCAGCACTCAAGAAATCAAAAGACATGTTGCCTTGGGCAAACCTCCTGCCAGGGACCTCTTTAAAATGCTAACGAGCAAGGATGTCACTTTAAAGACTAAGGTGCAGCTCGTCCAAGCCATGGTGTTCTCCGTTCTTCCTATGCATCTGAAAGTCGGACAATGAGTAAGGACAACAGTGGGAGAACTGATGTCTTTGAATGGAGGTGCTGGAGGAGAGTATTCACTACCCCACAGATGGCCAAAAGACTAAACAAATCTGTCTTGAGAAATGGACAGCCAGCGTGCTCCTGAGAAACAAGAGTGGGCACGTCCTCAGGAGGGTCTGGTCCGTGGAGAAGGCCCTCATGCACAGATCCCAGGGTGTCTGTGTCAGCTGTCTGGTTCCTCATATGGTCTGCCCCTCAGAGGTGAGGATGGGGGGACTTCATCTCACATACTTTGGACGTTTTATCAGGAGGGACCAGTCCCTGGTGAAGGACACAATGTTTGGTAATAAATGGCCGGTGAAGAGGAGGAAGACCATCAGAGACATGGACAGATTGCCTCATTGAAGGGGTCGAGCTCCGCAGAGGCCATGGGGGTGGGGCAGGGCCAAGCTGTGTCTCTGTGTTCTGTCATACGTGGGTCTCGATCAGTTGGAACCAACAGCACCTAACAATAACAGAGTCTGAGAAAGGCAGCTCCCTGGGCCTGGGTGAGGAGTCCTCTCTACTGTGGTTTGTCACCAAGCAAAGAAGCCACCTCGGTCATTCTCTCAAAGGCAGGGTCTTACATTTGTCTGGAAAACGCAAGTTACAAACAAGACATGGTTTTTGATTAACTGGAAAATGTCCTCAAAACCAACAACTCATTCCCCTTCAGGGTGCCCAAGGGATGCCAGCCAGGGTACACCAGGCACCCAGTGCAGGGGTCCTAGAACACCCCACCCCTCAGGGCCTACCTTCCATGGTAGCCTCAGCCAGGTTCCTCTGTGGACTCTGCAGGCCCCTCCCTTCCCTCTGCAGTCCCTTCCCCTTCTTTCAGGAAAGCATTCCAACCCACTAAACGAGGAGTCAACTCAAGACTCCTGATGGCCCTATACAGGGAGTTCTGGTGCTACAACTGCAAAGGCAGGGGGTTCAAATCCACCAGCTGCTCCACAGAAGGATGGTCAGTCTTCTCCTGTGTGATTTACTGCCTCTGAAAACCTGCTGGAGGGTCAGTTCCAATGTGACAGCACACAACGATGCTATGTGACTCTAACCAGCAGAATTGCACCCACAGGGTTTAAAAGGCTGTATTCTAAGGGAGCTCTGGTGGCCTAGTGGCATGGCAAGACACTGCACAGCAATCCCAGAAGTACGCGGTTCAAATCCACCAGATGCTCTGCTGGAGAAGGAGGGGGCAATCTCCTCCTATACCAGTCAGATCTGATTTGACGGTACACGTAAAAATAATACAATAAAAATAAAATTTAAAAAAAGGCTGTATTCTTTACAAAAGCAAACCACCAAGTTGTTTATCTGCAGAGTAGCGGGTGGATTTGAACCCAGGACCTTGTGTTTGGTGGCCAACTGCTTTAACCAGTGTGCTACCAGGGCCACCTCCACTTCATCTATAAAATCTTAGATGCCGTAGAGTCGATTTGTAACCAGAGCCACTCTGTGAGGTTTCCTGGACTGTCACCTTCACAGAAGCAGGTCACCAGGTCTAACTCCTGCAGAGCCTCTGGGTGGATGCAAACCACCAACCTCTCAATTAGAAATCAAGAGCTTAACTGTTGCAATGCTAGGGCTCCTTGGATGTACTAGCATGGGGTCCACAGATCCCAAAACCCTCAAAACTCTGAAATCCAACTCTGTCACAATTCCTTTGGAGGCAATTTCTGTCCTACCCTGACAGAAGTGAGTTTTGTAATTTATGCTACCCAATGTGAACACTCACTCAGTCTGTAACATTAGTGTGTCACTCCAAACCCAGCTGGGGCTCCTGCAGGCGGCACATTAAAAACACTCACGAAAACTCTCAAACTTCTCGCCACGGAGTCGGAACGGACTCCTAGCTGACCCTGCACCTTGCAGCAGGTTTTCAGAGGCTGTAAATCTCATGGGAGAAGACTCTTCACCCTTCATCCACAGAGAACTGAAAATCGGCAAAACTGAGCTCCCACACCCACTGGGCATCAGGTCTGGGTTAAGGCTGAGCGGCAGTGCGTCCCACCAGGGAGGTCGGGCTTCAGCAAGTGTCCTGAGCCTGCCTCCTCCTCCTCTTCCCAGAAACAGACCAGGAGACACTGACTGCAGCAGACCCAGCCCAGCCTTCTCTCTCTGTCTCTGCAGACTCGGTCTCCTGTTCCTCCAATGATGACCGATCAGCCCTGTCCACACCCAGCTGGACCCACTCAGCCATGAATGCCACCTGAAGCTTGTCCAGCAGCTTGGCCTGGTGCTGGACCACTGTGACCTCAAGGACAGCCACCTTGCAAAAGGCCACAACATATTCAAGAATCTAGGTTCTGGCCTCTTTATGAAAGGCAGAGGCAACAAAAGAAACCCTGAGGTGTGCACGAGGAACCATAAGGAAAAATAAGAAGTGCCGCTGTCCAGTCTACTCTGAGGGACAGTGATCCTGCAGAACTGCCGGGCAGGGCTTCCAAGGCGCTGCCACATCTTCCTTGCAGGACTGGCTGAGGGTTTCAGGAGAGGATGGGGAGTTGAACCCCGCTCCCCCCTTGCCTTTCGGTTGGCAGCCACATGTATTAACTCCCATGCCACCAAGGCTTCTAAAGGCAGGAAAGTTACTCCTTTTCCTACCAACCCCACAACCGCAGCCTCGCAGCCCCGTCCCAGCGTCCCCTTTAACAGCTGGTCTTGGAGGCAGGCGGACAGAGCATCAGTCCCATCCCCAGCACTCACTGGCTGTGTGACCTTGGGTAAGGCACTTCCCCGCCCCAACCTCGGAGAATGACCACTGCTCGCTCGCAGGGGAGTCCTGGACATGACGTCATTTCATGCTGGGAAATGTGCCCGCGGGGTCCTGCGCAGAGATGTCACCCGCCGGGCTGGGGGGCCTGGCACACAGTGACCGCGGCATCGTCCCCTCCCTGTTCCCATCCCCCACAAGCCCACGTGAGAGAAGGGGGGCACAAACTGGCCGAGCGCGGTTTTAGCCGGTTCCCGGGGGGTCCCGGGGACTCTGAACTCCGCAGCAGCTGGGAGCGATCCAGAAACAGAGAGGGTAGGTGACCTGTCCAAGGTCACACAGCCAGGCACCTAACGGGAGGGGATGCAGGGCTGGGCGGTGGCCCTGCGGACGCTGTCCAGCCCCGCGGCCCAGCACGAGGGCGGCCGGCTGTGGTCCCCCCGCTGCGAGCCGCCGCTGGCCCGCGCTGTCCCCGCCCCGTGCCGGTGCCGGCGGGCCAGAGGCGGCGGGCGCGGCGACCCCGGGGCTCGGCCCTCCCGCGCCCCCGGCTCACCGGACTTGGGGTAGGTGACGATCCACACGTCGCTCGGCCGCACCGGGAAGTTGGCGATCTCCTCCATCTTCCCGCGGCAGAAGGGCGGCAGCCGCACGCCGTGGAACTCGAAGTACTTGCTCTCGAACTCCCCCGGGGTGCTGGGGGTCTCGGCCTCGCTCTCCGCCAT